GGGTTCCGCCCTAGCTTAGGACCCTACATGCCATTCTCTTAGAGGGATACCAGTTATTAGATTTGGGGTTCCGCCCTAGCTTAGGACCCTACATGAAGCTACTCTTCAACTTCGATCTCAGAAGGCCAGTTGTTAAATTGGCCTTCCCACCTGATTTCTATGAACTAATCCAAACTCAACCTTTCATCTTTGCCTTTATAAGATGGAACTTTGAGACTTTAATTCTTAGGGCCCAGGATGACCTCATCTTAAATTGATTACATCTGCAAAGACCCTACTGACAAACAAGGTCACACTGACAGGTACCGAGGGTTAGAACGTGAACATAGCTTTTGGCGGGGACGTAATGGAACCCGTTCTCCCCATGCAGCACATGCTGAGGTGGAGACTTCATCAGCCTGGTTCCTTGGGTCACTGCAGTGAGACAGGTTTGTGCCTCCATGTTCACCTCAGTTCAGTTCCGTGATGTCCCCCGAGTTAGAGTGGGGGCTGAATCACCTGCCCTGGCTCAAGTATTTATCCCTATAGCTATTTGATGACTACATTTCACTGATTCATGCAAATTAAATGTGCCTGTGCTGTATATCTTTTCCCTGTGACCTGTTTTCCGGACTGTCTTCCATAGAATACATTCCTGTTGATCAGTAGTTACTGAGTGCTGCCATATGCCTATCATTGTGCTATGTGCCAAGAGGGATGTGTGGGAAATTAGACACAAGGAGCCCAATTATCAGGAATATATAATCTGATCTGGTGGACGAAACAGAAAAAAACTATCAGTGTTGGCTGAAATTATCAGAGGACACCAAATAATATGACTTAGTAAGAGGGAATGCTAACGGGACTTCTGGTTCGTTCTAGGTTCTATGGTAAGCACTTTGCAGGTGTTAGATTCTTTCATCCACATGGAGGTTGCAACCCATTGGGTTGGTATTTTGTATCTGTTTTACAGGTGAGGAAACAAGCTTAGAAAGGCTTAAGCAGCTTGCCCAATGGTCATTCGGTATTCTTTTTTTTTTTTTTTTAAAGATTTTATTTATTTCTTTGACAGAGAGACACGCAGCGAGAGAGGGAACACAGCAGGGGGAGTGAGAGAGTGAGAAGCAGGCTTCCCGCCAAGCAGGGAGCCCGATGCGGTGCTCGATCCCAGGACCCTGGGATCATGACCTGACCCGAAGGCAGACGCTTAACGACTGAGCCACCCAGGCGCCCCAAGTCATTCAGTATTCTAATCCAGGTTGGTCTGATTCACAAATTTGGGGTCCTATGGACTTTATTGACCTTTCAACTCAGTTCAGCCTTAATAGCCTGCTAGTATATGGTGGTCTACACTCGAGCAACACCAAGGTTGGTTCTCCTTATGCAATTATCCCTGGGCTGAACTTATCATGTGGCAATATCAACAGTTTGCAGTAATAAATAGAATAAAATAGTTAAGCTACTCTTCAACTTCGATCTCAGAAGGCCAGTTGTTAAATTGGCCTTCTCACCTGATTTCTATGAACTAATCCAAACTCAACCTTTCATCTTTGCCTTTATAAGATGGAACTTTGAGACTTTAATTCTCTAAGCTGGCCATGGATGCAAAGATTTGTCCTATCAGGGGCCATCATTTCTCCTCTAAAGCATTAAAAACAATTAAAAGGAACAACATGATCAAAAGAAACAACATGAAACCAACCAACCCTATTTTTAAGTGTTTCCAACCTTGTTTCAAAACAGCCTTATGAGGACTCTTTTCCCAACAGCCATGTATGAAGCCATCCACTTTTGAAATCTGATTTTCCTGTGTAGACATAACCTGTTTTCTATGCTTGGAGAAGCAGGGAATACCCAGGCTGGCACTCAATTGTAGCAAATGTGAAATAGAACATTTTTTTTTTAATTGTAGGAATGTTAAAATCCATGTTGACTGGTTTTTACATTTACCCGGCAACATTCCCATGCTAGCGTTGGCATGGAGACTGGAAAAGGAAACTTTCCACCAATCTGTCACTTGCTACTGTTTCCACTTATTTTACTGTGAGTCCAATTTTAACAATTTTTTAAAGTTAAAACAAGTTTAATTCTTTTTTGTTTTGTTTCGTTTCAGGACGTTTCTCAAACATAAAACACAGGCAAAAAGAAAGATTTTAAAACTCAGTCAAAAATTTGGGTTTCCAAATATTCAGCTGTTTAACATTCAGATAATTGCCTTCCTTTTTTTTTTTCTCCACATTTAGTCTGAATGTTTTGGCATGGGGAACCCCACCGTCTGAAAGTAACTTTGTCCCAACTCTCCTCACTGAGTTTATTTATTTATTTTCTCACTGCGTTTATTAAAGAGGCTGAAATACGCATCTGCTTTTCAACAGTTTCTGGTCCTTGAGGGACCAGGGAAAGCCAGAGGTTCTGACAATTCAGAAACAAAGTTGGGTTTCCCAAAACTTCGCTGCAAGCAAGGTTGGCAGTGGTCACAGCGAGGTATTCATGAAATCGTTTTCATTGAAGAAAAACAAGCTGTGATTCTTGGAACTAGGCTTGGTCAGAGATGGAAGGCAAATGTGTCACTCGTTCTCTCATGAGTAGCCTAGAGCCCAGTAGGCACTCAAGTCCTGTTTACGTGAATGAATTCATCACAGCGATGCTACATGGCATCTTCCAAGACGGAAGGGTGATTTTCCTGGGCTGGAAAGTAAAAGAAGAGAGGGCTGCCTACCTACAGTTCAGGGGGCCTCAGCCTTGGCGGCCCCGAAGCCAGGCGTTCTCATTTCCCCTTGGCATCATCCTGAACTGCTCTGCCTGAAGCTGGCGCGGTGTTACAGAAGGGAGGAAAGGCATGTGGGGAAAATCAGAGAGGAGAGGGTCGGGAACAGATGTGAGCATAAAGGGAAAGCATTAGAAATGAAAGAAAGAAATTGGACTCCCACAGCTGGAAGGACAAACCCCACCATGTCGTCAGGGATGTGGGATTAGGGGTGATTTTGCTTGCCCTTTGTTCTTCTTTCCTGTCTTCCACGTTTCCTGGTTTATTTGTTTGATGTGTGTCTTTTCTGTTCGGTTATTGGACCATGAGGCCAGACCCCAGTGGCCAGTACCTGGCACGCAGCAGGCGCCCTGCGAAGACCTGCTGAACAAATGAACGGCTTCGGAGGCTCCTGTCCCTCCCCTCCCCGCTCCCCCGGGGTGTCTAACCGCCCGGCACGTAGTAGGCGCTCCCTAAACATCTGCACGGCAAATGAGCTGCAAGTTTTCGGCGCCCAGCACGTGGAGCTTTGGAAACCAGGACAGTGAACGAGCGTGTCTCAAACCACAAAGCGGCTGGGGCGCGTGCGAGAGGCGGCGGCGGGCGGAGGCGGGAGGCG